TCCGGGAAGGGACTGCAGGAGTCCCGCGTCCCCCTGGTAGCCAGAGTTTAGCGTCTGCACAGATGGGCCTCGGTCTTTTATCTCGTCCCAAACCTTCAAGCCTCATTACCACCCTTCCTGCTGCTGTCTAGTGGGGAGCTTTGAAGTGGAGAAAGCGTCTGGGTCTGAAGGCACAAGGAACCAGGCTGATAGAAAGGCCCAGGCGTCCCACCCCGCGTCCCTGCTTCTACAAAAAGCTGCTTAATCCCATAGCACATGCTGACAGCTCCACAGCTCCGCTCTACTCCTGGACTTCAGAGCCACCAGATTGGTCCGGCCCACTCCTGCTGTCTTCCTGTAGGCTCCTCCTGCCTCCCAGAACCCCGGCCTTTCTCCCTGCCTCTGGGGGATGACTCAGTCTCTCCAGTGGGTTCAGCCCCAGCTACCTGTAGTTTCACCACTGGCAGTACCCGGTGCAGCACTCCACAGCAGACTGCATTCCCAGGCACTGTCGCATTGCAAGGAGTCCTCGCTTTGGTCGGCTTCTGAGAGGCCCATCCTGAACACGCAAGGCCTGGGAAGCTCAGCCCGAATATCTTCCGTGTTCTTCCTGTCCCCACAGTCCCCAGAGCTGGGACCCAGCACTGCCACCAGTGGATGATGTAACCAGAAGGACAAGCAATGGGCCCAAAGCAGCACACTTCGTGTTATGGTTTAACTATGAAGTAACTCCAATAAACTGAAATTTAAATAAATAAGAAGTATCCCCCAAAGACTCACAGACTGCAAGATTGGTCCTCAATCCAGCAATGTTTAGAGGCCAACACTGGAGCCCAGAGAGGTGTCAGCCTCATCAGTGGATTAATCCATTGACAAGGCCATGGCTGAGCGGTCTGTTAAGGGGCAAGGCTGAGGAGAGGGAAGTAGGTCACTGGGGGCGTGGGTTTGAAGGGTGGATCTTGTCTCTGCTCTTTCTTCTCAAGTCTTTTCTGTCCACTTTGCTCCCTGGCTGCCATGGGTTGAGCGGCTGCCTTCCACCATGCCATGATGTTCCTGGCTTGGAGCCAGCTGACCATGGACTGACCCCTCCGAAGCCGGTGAGCCAAAGTAAGCCACTCCTCCTTTAAGCCACACGGGTGGGTGTCAGGCATTCTATCAAGGTGACGGAAAACTGACTGACACACTTAAGAAGGAGCCATGCCAGGTCTGGGATGCACAGAGCCTCCTCCTCCTGCTCCACCCTGAAGCAAACACACACACACACACACACACACACACACACACACGCACGCACAGCTGGGGAACCCCGGCTCAGCATCTGAGAGAAGTGCTCTGCTTGCGGATTCCAGGAATCAGAATTCTGTTCCTGGCTCTGCTGCAGACGTGCTGTGTGTCCTCAAGCACATCACTTCCCCTCCTGGGCTCTTAAAATCTGGAGGGATTGGATGCAGGACCTAAACAGACCTTCTTGCTTTGGCAGCTGGCAGACTCTATGGTAGAACAAGGTGACTTGCGAGGGAATCATAGGCCGCCTGCCCCCTCCCAACCAAAGGATAGTCCCGGTGGAGTCAGGGAAACTGAGCCTGAGTAGATGGACAGTGGGAGGAGAAAGGCCTCAGAGGAAGTCGGCTCTGGAATAACAAGAGCAGCCCCCAAGGGAAGCTGCAGGACCTCGGGTGCAGACATCCAAGGTTAAGAGCTGGGGGCCTGGACCCACCATGGCCCTCTTGCTTGGCTGGCAGTGTCTTGGGGAGAGTCTGGGTAGGGGGCTTCTTCTATGCAGTCCCTTATAAAGGCCACCCAAGCAGAGGTCACATCAGATTGTCCTTCCACTCACCAGCACAGTTCTCCTGTGCCAAGGCAGCGGGTAGAGGCAGAGAGAGGATAAGGAGCCTGCACCATATGTGTCCACCTCTGAGAGATGCCAGCATGCTGTGTGAGCGCCTGGTAATCACACCTGCATTAAATGCCAGTGCTAATGTTAATTCCCCAGCCCTCCTGAGGAGAGGTGGTACCACCCCCAGTGGACCTGTGAGTATAAAGAGAGCTGGCTCTGCCAGTCCATGAGCCCCAGCTGGGTGTGGGATCACTGGGCCTCTGCCTTGTGGAGGGAAGGCCCAGGGATGGGGAAGGACTTCTGAACTTGCACAGTGGGGCTCAGAGATGTCAAGGAACTCAAGTATGATGCACAGCAGTGAGCCTGGTAAGGAACCAGGGGTCCTCATCCCAGGCTCTGGTCTGTGACCATGGAGGGAGACCAGGGTGAGTTTTCAAGGCAGTATCATAGTGGTGAGCTACTTTAGAAACAGCTGACTTGATCACTTGGGCAAATAACAGGAAGGTAAAGTCCTCCTTAGCTGACAGACACCTAATAGTGAATGACCAGACACCAGGGTTTCAATTTTAGATACCTGGAGACACATCTGCAAAGTTAAGGACTCTGGAGCTGTGACCTGGATTCTGATCTGGCCTCCATCAGATGAGCAGCAGAGCCACCTGCTTTTCCTCCCAGATCCCTGTCTGAAAAATGACATCTGCTTCCCAGAACTGTCATCGTAGTTAACAGAAACTAAAGCAAGACGCCTTTTGGTATGGATCGGGTGATCCTTGGGACAGCTTTCCAAAGAGAGGTCCTGACATCCCCTGATGTGAGTTGACACGTAACTGGCATTTAACAGCACCTGTGTGCCCCACCTGCCTTCTCCCAACCCAGCGTGTCCCCGTGAAAAGGTCTGGTGGGCTCGCCTCTGATCCTTGGGGAGGTGGGAGAAAGGCTGGGTCCCCACAGAGAATTTCTGGGGCAGTGCAATTCCGCAAGGGAACACACATACAAAGAAACCTTATCTGCTACCTTGAGAACTGAGGGGCTTCAGGGCCACCATGGCATAAGAGGGCAGCTACAGTGTTGGCAGTGGTACCAGGAGCCACACCTGGGCTTTACTGGGCACCTGCATGGCGGGGACTTGACAAGTGGCACTTCAGCTGCTCTCAGTTGGTTTGTGGTAGACCATGTCCTTGCTGTCCAATTAGTAGATGGGGAAGCAGAATGGTGTGTTCGGTGGCCAAGGTCTGCCTTCCACAAGCCTGTGCTATCACCACGGCTTTCTTTACGGCCGCCACTGACACTGTGACTCTGGGAAGATGATTGCTTGATCCATGAAGCTGATTTACGGTGAATTTTGGGGACAGACCCTTCCATAAGCTGAAGATTCATGGACTCTGGTGGCCTGGAGTATCTGGAGTCCAAATGAGCCAATAGTGGGCTCTTTCTGAAGGCTCAGGCCACAGGGCAGGAGGCCAGGGCTGAAGGTGTTGCCTATACCCAAGTGTATGCTCAGAGCTGGCTGGTGACAACCAGGGTGTGTGTGTGTATCTCTCTGTGTATGTGTGTGTGTGGTGTGTGTGTGGTGTGTGTGTGTGTGTATGAGAGAGAGAGAGAGAGAGGCATGTGCATAAAACAGACACAGGTCACTACTCGATTTCCAGCTTTCCTCAGTGACCACTCACCCCCACAGCTGGTTGCTGCCTTGCCCTGTGGTCTCCTCTCCCTCACAAACACACTGATCGACATGGTCTGCACTCCATGCATTTGCAGGAGTTTGTGGGTGCCCGGCGATGACAAAATAGTTTATCCTCTTGCCCCACTTCAGCCAGGCAGGACCCCTGTAGAGCCATGGTCCTGTACAGGGGCGAGCGGGTGTGTCTGGGAGATTGCTGCGGGAAGGCAGCCCCGCTAGTTTGAAAAGTAATCTCAGCATGTTTGTTGTCTTCCTAATGTGTGCGAAGGCGGGGATGGTACCCTTGGTGGGTGGAGAAGACTGTGACTCTGTGGATCTCCCAGGTGGGGTGGAGGGGGCAGATGGAGAGGCCTTGAGACACAGGAGTTTATCCAAAGGGGCAGGGCTTTAAGCGGCTGAGAAATCAACATGCCAGGAATTGCGGCTGGTGGGCTGAGAAGGCAGCCGCAGTGGGACGGCTTCGTTAGTCTTCCAGGCACTCACTGGCCAGAGCAAAGTGATCGCTGAGATTTCAATCAGCTGAAGCAGCTCTAACCTTGAAGTGTGAGATTGTGGGGAAAGAAAGGAGAGGAAGGGAGGGAAGGGAGGTTGGAGAGCAGACCCAAAAAGAGAGAGGAATGAGGATGCTCTGAATACCTCCTGTATCGGGTGCTATGGCAACAGGGTTGCCGTCTATCCATCCATCTCCTGATGACCTCCTCAGGCCAACCCAGGGAGGCTGACAGCCAGATCTTGCCCAGGTCTTCTGAGTCTTTTGTTACCATTAAGCTGTATTTTCTCCATTTTAGAACTGAAGACATAGGACCTTAGGGAAGGTCTCTCGGCCACCAAGAGGGAGACTCAGATTTCAGCCAACTATTTGTAATCCAGAGTTTATCCTATGCCCCTGCATGAGTTGTTCACTGGCAGGTGGCCTGAAAGTCCCCATCGGTGAAATGGGAACTGTATTGCATAACCCTCTGGGGCTGTGAAGTACTCAATGAGTTAATATACCCAGTACTAGGCATATACTAAATACCGTAAAAGGATTGGCGATTCCTCTATGAGGGTAGATTGTTCCAGACCACCTTGAAAGCCCTGCCCCTCCTCTTTCTCCCCAGCACCCCTTCCCACCACTGCCTGTCCTTCCACAGTCACCCCAGGCATCAGATTCTTCACCTCCCACCCTGGGAGCCTGGGCTGCCAGTGGCTGGCTGGGTCCAGTCCTGGGGCGGGGGGTAAGCCCGGGAGCCCATCCCCCCCACTTCTCTTTGACAATCCGAGGGCGCAAGTTAGATAACCGTGACACTTGTTTTAAATTAGCCTTCAGAAGCCTCCGACAGCTGAGAAATTATTTAACAGGGAAAGAATTGAGTACATGAATAAATATTAATATTAAATCACTGCTTCTCTAGATTTAAGGCGAAGCGTGGGGGACTCACCAAGACACAGAGGTTGCAGGTGTTCCTGAGAAGCCGCTCGCATGGCGTGGGAACTGGAGCAGCCAGCGCTCAGTCGCAGGCTCCCGTGAGAGCCGGGCAGGGGCTCCGTCTGCCCGGGAGGCTTGCAGGTGGCACAGGCGATGTTGGAGCAGCTCGCGGAGGCTCAACAGGTAGCGGAAGTGCCAGCCTCTCAGGCTGTGGTGTTGGGGAAACAGAAAGCTGCCCAATTATCGGGTGGACCCCACCCCAGCACCCCAAGAGGGGCCACTGTCCTGTGCTGCTAGGGATTTTCCCGGGCCCTTCCTCTGTATGAAAGTACTGACGTGCACATTTTATGATCACATACTATAAAGACAAACACCATCCGGGCTGGAGCCAGGATTCTACATCTATTAGGATTATAGTCACTGCCCCCTGGCTTTCAAAGGGAGTGAGGGCTCTGAGCACTGGGCCTCCTGGGCCCCACAGGGGGGTTGCCACCCAGGGGAAGCAGGATGAATAGGGTGGGGGCCGCCTGGGGCAGGGATCCCAGGGGACATAATGAGCACTTGGAAGCTTGGATCCCATCTTTCAGGCCCAGAGCATGTATTGATAGTAAATAAAAGTGACCCATTACTAACCAATAACAAAATTAGTAATAATGCGTGTAACTGACTTGGCTTTAGCGGCCCCGTCATCAAGCTCTGCCCAGCACCTCCCAGGCTCAGGGCCCCGGGGTCTGCTCTCCTCTGCCTAGAGCCTTGTCCCTGGTGTTCTAGCGACCTGCTCCCCATCTCCCTGGGGTCTCCCCCTTCAATGTCCTTGTCCCCTCCGGAACTTTCCATCTAAATCACCCTTCTGTCCCCTTCACTCTGTGCCCTTTTTCCTGCTTAATTTTCTTCCTAGCACTTACCCTGTATCATGTGGCCAATATACACACCGATGTGTCTAGACATGATTACAGTTCAGAGGTTTAGTAGGTGCTGGTCCACTCAGTCACACGCTGTGTGAGGGTAGGAACTTTGTCTTGTTCAACTCGGAGACTTTAGTGAGTAGGCAGTGCTGGCCAATTGAGAGAGAAAGAGAGGTGTCTGCCACGTGGTAGCACAACAGTGATTGCTCCTCTGCCCTTGGGGTTGCTGAGTTCTTGCAGCTCCCTATGAGGGAAGGTTCCCCATAGCACCACGGGGCTCACTGAGGAGGCCTGGAGAGACCAATGAGCCCTACGGCAGTGCAGTCAGAGCATCAGTGCTCCCTTTGATAAACAGAGTGTGTGAAGGTCCAGGTGTGAGCACAGAGGGGTCTGGAAGGTGCCGATGAGGGGGTGAGGGTATAAGGGACCTGGCCCAGTTTCCCCTCTTACCCCAGATCCAGAATTTCAGTCATGCCTGCCAGACTGTTTGTGGGGATGATGCACAAGGCAGGATCGGGGGTCCTGTGGAAGCTGAGTGGACCTGCTTCCCTCTGGTCTTGTCCCCTGGCAGGGAGGAAGGGGCAGTGGGCTGCAGTTCCTGTCCTCTGCAGGGCTGGGTGCTCCCTGCTGCTGCTTCCGGGCTTCTTGCTGGGGAAGGCCGTGAGCCTTCCTGGTCCCTGCCTCCTCCTCCTCCTGAGCCCAGCTCAGGGCCTGACAGCTGCAGGTGTTGGTGGGTCCCAGTTGTGGAAAGGACGTGCAGTGGCATCTTTAAACACCTGCCTGCTACCTCCAGAGCTCCACACAGCTGTGAATGTCCCACTCTACCCAGCTCCACCCAGGCATGAGCCCCCTCCCCACTCCGCTTCTTGTCTGATTATAGCTGTGACATTGATGTGATAAGGTGTGTTTAATTAGAGGAACACACACACTGACCCAAATGCTGTTTGGATCAGGACTGTCTAGCTTGGGCAGCCAGCACCCTGCGTATGATGACATCAACGGGGGTTTGCATGAAACACTGCGTGAGTCTGGTGGGACCCAGGGGCCCAGCCAGGGTCCCGCCCTGGAGTCACAGCCCCTCCATGCTCTTGACCCAGATGTCCACTCTACCCGGCCCCTCCTTGAAAGATATCCCTCCTACCCTAATCTGGCAAGCTGTCAGCTTGCTGTTCTCTTGGATTCATCCTCCAAGTGTTCCCAGGGGTTGGCAGGTTAGAGGAGGCCTTCTGAGGACGCCAACCCTCCCCCAGCTTCCTGGCATTTGTCTGGCCCAGCAGCATCTTTGGGCTTCCTGAGGCCCAGGCAGTACTTGGGTCTGTGTGAGATCCCTAAAGTCCTCACCCAAGTACTTGGGTCTGCGTGAGGTCACTAAGCATTGTGCCCTTCTTGATGTCTCTGCTGTCATCCGATACTGCAGGAAAGGGGCAGTGGGCTATGTTCATTTTGCATCTGCTGAGCTCTGCTAGGATTGAGGAATGCAGATTCAGAGAAGTTAAGAAACTTGCCCAAAATTACCCAGCTGGAAAGTTCCGGAGCTAGATGCAGATTCAGACCTGTGGATGTCACCCTGTGTTAGGCACCTCCCCCACTTTTCCATCTTTTAGATAAACTCTATACACTGTAACTGTGGGGGCAGGGCCCTGAGTGTCAGGCCAACTGAACTTCCTTAACACCAGAAAAGGGAACGGCTTCCTCCCATTTCCAGGAAGCATCTTTTGTGGGTAACTCGATTCTACTTTTCTTGAGTCCCATATTCTCTTATAGAATGTCTCGGTTCCCAGTCTGTCCCTTCCTAAGCGGCTACTAAAGCTCAGCTAGGTAACTTGTCCTGAGCCTGCGGAGAGCAGGGTCTCTGTTCTGCCTTGCTCACCACAGTTGGAAGAATGAATGTATGAATGAGTGAGTGGATGAATGAGTGGGTGAGTGAATGAACAAATGAGTGAATGGGTGAGTAAATGAATGGGTGAGTGACTACGTGAATGAATGAATGATACAAGAGACCCATTCTTGCATTCTGTCCTCCCATGTCCCAACCAAGCTGCTCTAGGAACCCAACCCGTCTCAATTCCTATGTGGAAGGGCTGTAAGACAAAAGGGTGAAGACAGAGCCACAATGCAGACTGGGACTGGAGCCCAGCCCCCATGAAAATGCCTGAGGTTCCTGATCCATCCGTCCACCTGCCCACCCTGTGCTCCAGGCCCCCGCCCTCATCTCTAGCTCCGCTGATGAGTCATACCAGGCCCAGTGACACCACTGTCACTATCCTTATCCAGCAGATAGGACATCGCCCCCCTCCATCCCTCAGCCACCCCGCCCCTCCTGCCCAAGCTGGGCTGCCCTTGCTCTGTGACACCTCCTGATGGTGTGACTGACAGTGACATCGAGGCAGCTGTTGTCCCTCTGGCAGGACCTACCTTGCCTGGTGACTCAGACCCTGCTGCTGAGGGATCTGACAGTGCTGTAGATGGATCGTGTAGCCGGGAGCCAGACTTTCCAGCCTTGCCACTCTCCCTGCTCTGAAAGTCACTTCTGGATGATCAAATGAAAATGCAGCTTCAGTCCGTGAACCCCAAAGCACCTTCTAAGCTCTAACATTTGGGGACTGTCTGATCCCCATAATTATAAGCCGCATGGAAACAGGCCCCATGTCTATGAATTGACCAAGCTTATTTTATGTAAATCATACCTCAAAGTAGCTGGAAAAAGCAAATCCAAATGCTCAAGATACATGGCAATCAAAAGAATATTCCAGGATTACTGAGACCTTGGGTATGTGGCCGGTACCCATGAGAATGGGATCAGAGGTGAGCTGGAAACTCGCGCTCCCAGGCTAGAATCAGGGGCTTAACACATGATCATTCCCTCTCAGGACTGTGGACTTGTGGAGGGTGTAGGCAGCCAACTGGGGCTGTGGAAGCTGTACGCCCAGCTGGACTTGGCTCCAAATTGTGGGTGGAGCTGTGTCTACTGGGAGCCCTGCTAGGGGAACAGCAGCTTTGGGGTGAGGGGGTGAAGGAGCCTTCTTGACAGGCAGAAATACAGGAAGCTTTTGCCTACAGTGAACATCCCTTTGGCTAAAACAAGTCACATGACCAAGCCTTGTCCTAGTGGGGTGGGAAGCCCCTACAGCTCATGGGGGAGGGGAAACAGAGGGTGGCTTTTCTGACCAACAGCTCCATGGTCTCCCAGTGGCTCAGCACGATGGTTTAAAGACACAGGTTCTAGAATGTGAGCTCACATTCTGAGGCTCATCAACCATGAGACTTTGGGCTAGTAACCGCCTTTCTCCATGCCTCAGTTTCCCCATCAAAGAGGCAGATATCATCAAACATGATCCCTTTGGTGGCATGATGCCCATTGGTCTTCCTGAGCACCTGTGTCAGCCAGAATTTCCAAGACGATGAGAGAGATCCAGTTTCATCTTTCTTGTGACTTCTGGTCCCCCTCTCCCTCCTTTCCTTCCACTGGGCTGATCCACCCTCCTCTGCACCCGCTCCCCAGGGTCTCCAATCTCTTCAAATATTTGGAAACATCCCCGAGGTCCCCAATCTCAGTCATGGTTAAGCCAAGCTATACAGATTTAGTTCCTTTAATCTTTCCTCGTAAATTAATCCCTCTGAACCTTTAATCATTTTCCTCGAATGAGATTCAAATGAGACGCATGTCAGGGCTCCCACCAGCCACACACTGTGGTGGCACTGATGGGCTGTTGAACTGACAAGCTTCCTGTCCTGCAGGGCAAGTGTACCAGGCTGTCCCACAGAGAGGAAGATTCTGGGGCCCAGAAACTGACACCAAAGAATCAGCTGAGACTCTGTGCCTACCCCGTGCTCTTAGAGGTGCTTTGAATATTTTGGTTTTTGACCTCTCAGGCAGAGGGACCAACTGTCCCTGTGTGTGTTTCCTGAAGTAGAAGTAGGTGGCTGGGAATGTACACTCTTTCTCAACTAAGTCCTCTGGTCACCAGCTGGCCACTGTCTGTCCCTTACATGGAACACATGGCCAGTCTTTGTGCTGGACATGTCCAGTCCTCACATCCCCCATGACAGTTGGGAAGAGGAAATAGAGCATCACTGTTAAGACCATGAGTTTGAGTCCCAGTCTGGACACTTTAGAGCTGTGTGACCTTGGGCATGTGTGACCTGACCTGTGTTGACCTGTTACATGGGGTCCTAATAGTACCTACATCACAGAGCTGTTAGGAAGATCCAGTGACTTCATAAGAAGATGACTTGGTGTGGTAGATTAGCTAATGGTCAACTTGGAACACCCAGCTGAACTGAACCATCATGGCTCTGGGTGCAGAAGGCCCACCTAAGGACTGTTACCAACAGCATAAAAGCAGAACTGGAGGGGAAGATGGTGTGCTGTTGGTTTTCCCGGAGAAGCTTGTCATGCTGGTTCTCCTGACATAAGCTCAGCCATTCTTATTGCTGGGGAGCTTGGGTTCTTGCTGTCTCTGAGGATGGCTGTGGTTCTCTTCGAGGGAGCTCTGGTCCTTACCTTGAAAGTCGCTTTCTGACTCCAGTGCAGATTCCTCAGCCTGTTGGCACAGATCCTTCACCCCACTGGCGCAGACTTTCTAGCTTCCACCACTGACCTTTGGGCCTTCCCGGTGCAGATCCTTGATACAGACTTTCTTGAGACATAGTCATGGGCTCCAGGCGTCCAGCTGGACTCATGCAGGGCGTTGCCATGGGATCCAGGCCGTCAGCTGGATTCTTTTGGTCTCTCGTGCATGGACAGATCATTTGCACTGTTCTGGATTTGACTTTTTGGGTGAATATTATAAAATAATCCTATAAATTATGTGTCCTATTTTAAATCCTTTCCCTTGTATACCCTGACTGTAACACTTGGAATAGTATTTGGTACAATTGAATTCAGCCCTGCTAAATGCTGGTTTTGGGGAGTATTGTCATTGCATGTGGCCGTTGGAGTTAAGACCTTAGGAGAGGTGTGGTGAGTGACTAGGGTGCTAGGATGGGATCAGAGCCTGCTCCTTGGCTTAGCTCTGATGCCTGGCATTGTCCCAACCTCTGATTCATGCTGGTGGAAGAGGGGCAAGGATGCTCACAGACTGGGACAATGAGTAGGGCACAGAGAGCCACCAGGGGCCCACGGCTGGTGGACAGCCAGGGAAACATCCATCTGTCCATCTGGCGGTCTTTGAGCTGCAGACACGGTCCCTATCTGAGCTCCACCCCGGAGCAGCACCCTCATGGATGTGCTGCTTCTAGCGGCATTGCTCATATGTCACTTAGGCATTTTAACCTCAGGCTCCGCAGCCCCCAGACAGCTAAGATACCGTCACACGGGCACTGGGTGTGTGCTGAGCTGCTTCTTCCCGATTGTAAGGGCAGTGTCAGCTGGTGGTGAAGACCTCCTGCCTCAGAATCCCAGCTTTGCCACTTACTAGCCATCTGACCTTGGGCAAGCTTTGCTGCCCTGTGCTTCAGTTTCCCCCACTGACCAATGGAGGTAATAACAGCACCCATCTCCTAGGGTGGCTGTAAGAATGAATCAACCAAAATATTCAGTGTGCCTCCAAGAGCAGCAGACAGGGAACCAGGGCTCAGTACGCATTTGCTGCCTTTGGAGTTTCTGCCACTGCATGGGCTCTCCACAGCTGGACGAGTCATTTCCCTTCCCAGAGCCTCAGCTTCCCCATCTATAACACAGACACCACTGCGAGAATCAGGTGCATTCATGTGGGTGAAAGCGCTTGGCAAAATGGCAATGTGCTCCATATTTGGAAGGCTTATGAGAGGACAACGGTAAATTTGTGGATGGAGAGAGGAGAGAAGAGCTAGGAGATACAAAGGAAGAGTTCTGAGCCACCAGGGCCCTCAGGGCTCTGTCCCCAAAGGTTTATTGTGTGGGAACATCCGCAGCTTTCCTTCCTCCACCTGGGAGACCAGTTGCCTAGAGACTGGCTGGGGAGGGGAGGGTGGAGCCGTAAGACCTAGGGCACAAGGGGAGAGGAGACTGCTAGGGTACTGAGTAGACTCCATGGTTCTGCCCCTCCTTACTCCTCCAGGTGCTAGAACCACGGGAGAAGACAGACACCATCTGCTCCAAAGCTGCTGCCCGGACGTCACCCTCTACTCTTCCCCCATCTTGGTGTCACCCCCTCCCCCCGGGGTCAATATTCCTGAGAGCATCATGGTTCTTTCCTGCTCCTCTGCTGTGCCTGGGTCCTTGTCTCTTTCTTTATGTCCCAGGTAGCACCCGCTGGACCTCTTTCACTCATCTTCCTTAGAATCCATCCTCCAAGTAGCAACTGGCCGGGCCTTTTAAAAACACCCATCTGACCCTCCTTCAGGCCTTTTGGTAGCTCTCATTTTTGTGCAGAAAAAGACTCCAAGTCCAATGGAGTAAGCATGCTTCTTATCCCATTTTGCAGATTGGGGAACTGCAGCCTGAGCCAGTTACGGCGCTCTGGCTGGAGT